GCTTTGCAAGCCACGGCAGAAGGACAGCCGGCTCTATGGAGCCCCAATAGGAAGCTGCCTCTGTGGGCTGGCAAAGCTGAGATCCCTACGTGGAACTTCCTAGAGGGTACCTCAAGTACCTATGAGAACAGGGGGTCTTACCTATCCCTTGAAAATATATTACATAAATACATGTTCATTTTAGGAAACTTGGAGATGCAGAAAAAAGAAACAGGTTTACCCAGAGATCCCTGCTGTAGACATTTTGTTTGGTACCGTGGGGATCAGGATATAAAGTCGGTCCATAAGGAGAAGTATTACCCTGGACAATTCCTCAGGAATGTGTCACATTGGGAGTGGACATCCCACTTCTCAATCTATACAACCCAACCATTTTCCTCTGGGGTTGGACCAGATCCCTTTTGGTAGTTGAGCCCCAGAAAAAGTGGTTGGCTTGCTTTTAGGGGGCAGGTAGTATGAAAAATGCACATCCTGAAACATTAGATTACACTCAGCATGGGAGGATGCTCACATCCTGGAAGGCAAATGGGAATTGAGAGGGAATTTCAGCAGCCTCATGTCCCCATCTCACTCATGGGCTCAATGGGTAGAGTGGCAGGTCAGATCTGCACTATTTAAGCTTTTCTCTGTCTCCCACCCCCACCCTCTGTGGAGTGCATAGAGGTGAATTCAGAGAAGTTAAATGCATGTATGATGTGACTCCACTTTATATCTTTTCAATCTTCGTCTATGCATATGAACACATCTGTATGATTGATTGGTTGATAAAAACAGGATCATACTTTATATGCTCTTTTCAGCTATTAGATCCTGGATATCCTTCTATATAATATCCATATCATCCTTTGTCATGACCTCCTAGTATGCTACTGAGAAGATAATACCATCATCTGTGTAATTATGTAATCCTTTATTGCAGGGCATTTAGTTTCAAACTTTTGTTATCCTAATAATTGCTGCAATAAATTTCCTTCTGCAGGACTCTTTGCTTTTCGATCCAATTACTTTCCTAGAAGAAATGTCCTCAGTGAGGAATTCTGCATCAAACATATTTACCAGTTTAAGTCTTTGGTCCCAGCTCACCTGCTATTTTCACTCTTATGCAGGGAAGGGGAAGAGCTCAGAAAAATTTGATCAGTATCCCAGAAAGAGGTGGATTGGTCCTATCTGTGTGGTGAAGGGCATGTGAGAGTAGTTCCAATCTAAACCCCTCTATTTTGTCTTATCATCTTCCATCCACCTCAATTTCCCTACCGTTTGCAAATAGGATGAGCTAGGCTCAGGTTACCCCTGGTTTCCTTGGAGCAATAAAGATGATCCATTACATTTATGGAGTGCTTCACAGATTTTGAAACAATTTTGAGTTTTATCTTGTTGAATCTTCACCAGGCAGGCTTTATTAGTTCTTCATTTGGCAAAGGAGGGGATGGAGGTCCAGAAAAGTTAAGGGAGTTTCCCAAGTTCACAGACATCAGAATTGGGTACCAGGCCTTCTGAATTTTAGTCCAGCAAACTGAAAGTGCTGCTGGGATCACAAGGTGGAAATAGTCAGGGTCTTAGCTCTCTATCCCATTTGTAGCTAAAGGGAGGAGCCAGGCTTCCTGGCTGGTGGACAGCTGTTGTTTCTGCTTACCCAGCATCCATTCTCTTTTCCTTTAGTAACATGCTGAATTTGGTTTGAGAACCACCATTAGGTTAGTAGTTGCTAACTTAAAGTATATGCTACATTTTGTCTGGCAATCCTCAGCCTCACCAGGTGTTGTTTCTCTGCTGGTACCATCACTTCAATAGTTTGTTCCTCCGTTCTTTAAGGCCAGGTGCTTTTGGGTGATGAAATACATGGGAGGAAATATATGGGAGAAACCCATTCTCCCCTTCAGACTTCATCTTGTTCTCCCTGTTCGGGGTATGCATATCACCCAGATCTGGCATATTCTATCCCTTTGGATAACAGTTGATTCAGTGATGAACATCTGACCTGAACTGGGTCAATGAGATTCAGTCTAGGGACTTATTTTTTTTCGAAGGTGAAACTCTCTTCCTACTCAATTTGGAGCTGCCAGGAGCCACTGTGAGAGGGAGAACCTGCTTCAGAAATCTCATCTGAGGATACCCAGTGCAGAGGAAAGCAAAGCTTGGGGATGGAGACAGCAAAATCTCGATGACATTTAAAAAATATTGATGTATGGTTGATTTACAATGTTATGTTAGTTTCAGGTGTACAGCAAAGTGATTCGGTTATTTTTATATATATATATATATATATATATCTATATATATATATATATATATCTTCTTTTTCATATTCTTTTCCATTTTGGTTTATTACAGGATACTGAATATATATCCTGTGCTACACAATAGGACCTTGTTGTTTATTCTTTATATAATCGTTTGCATCTGCTAATCCCAAACTCCCAACCCATCCCTCCCCTGCCCCCACATCCCTGGCAACTGCAAGTCTGTTCTCTATATCTGTGAATCTGTTTCTGTTTCATTTGTGTCATATCTTAGATTCCACATATAAGTGATATCGTATGGTACTTGTCTTTCTCTGTCTGACTTACTTTGCTTAGTATGATCATTTCTAGGTCCATCCATGTAGCTGCAAATGGCATTATTTTATTCTTTTTTATGGCTGAATAATATTCCAATATATATAAGGACCACATATTTATCCATTCGATGACATTATTTTATCATCTGGAAATCCTGAAGATGTTGTGACCTTCTGCTTAACCCCTACAAAAGCAACAAATGGAACCTCCACTGCACCAGAACTTCTATTACTGCTCCTGCAAAACTACCTAAGACCTCACACTTGCTCGTACCCTCACTGTTCTCCCTTCTGCTTTGCCAGTCTCATGCCGACGCATCTACTTAAAGGAAGCTAGTCTCATGTCTATACCTTATTTAAAAGGAAGCAGGGAAAATGTAGTTTTTGGATTATATCTCGGAAAGGCAGGCTTTACAATGTGGAAGCGTTCAAAAGTTACAGATGTTACTACGATCTACCCCTTGGCTGCCTAGCATCCATATGTGCTATGTTTTCATACCTGCATTTCCAACCATAATAGTAGCAATAACCTGTGCTTGCTTAAAATGATACAGCTATCACTTGGAAAATCAAAATGCACTTCCTCAAAGGAAGGACCCAAAGTTTCATTAGTTTCTGCACCTAGATACAAGTTCAGGTTTTCTGGGTGATGACCGTATCTCCTCTGGTTGTCATAATATCATACTGATACTCTGTAGCCTGTGGACTAAATTGTAGACTCACATAGACTATATAAAATATTAGAGAAAAGGGGAAGGAAGAAAAAAAGAAACTTTATTAACTACTAGATATGTACATGACACAGCAGGCAAAGAAGAAAATGTGGCTAGCTGCCACAGAACTTACTGATGCAGCTGGCTGTGACACTGCGAGGGCATTTATAATGTCCTTCCTCCAGTGCCCATTTATGTTCCCTTTGTCTTCAGCAAATCAGCTGCCTGTGATTCTTTATCTGGTGGGGTGACCCAATCTTCATTCTTGGGGAATCTGAATACTTACTGGCTCTGTCCATATAGGGTTAGAACTGTTAACTTTTTATCACTGGATATGGTAATTTTAGATGTGCCCCAGGGGGTCCCTTGGTTTACAGAAATAGTCCTTTCTGCCCTCATGTGTGACAGCAGTCTACGTTGATAATCCGGATCAGTCATTTTGTCCAACAGGGCATAAGTCTCATATGTCCATGTTGAAGTCTCAGGTTCCAATTCAATGGGCCTATTATTGTGTCCCCTGGTAAAAGAATCCCTCCCATTGGTTCAAAGGCCTTTACATCAGTAGAACCCAAAGTCACAGAAGGCAAAAATTTAGCAAGTGGTTCATTAGTCATCATGATGCGAGGAGCTACTCCCACCTCTTATTTCTAGGGGTGAAACTGTGGTCATTAACTTAAAGGATATAAAGATGTAGACATAGAGAATGGACTTGAGGACATGTGGGGTGGGGAGGGGGAAGCTGGGGCGAAGTGAGTGAAGCATCGACACATATACACTACCAAATGTAAAACAGATAGCTAATGGGAAGCAGCTGCATAGCACAGGGAGATCAGCTGGGTGCTCTGTGACCACCTAGAGGGGTGGGATAGGGAGGGTGGGAGGGAGACTCAAGAAGGAGGGGATATGGGGATATATGTATGCATATGGCTGATTCACTTTGTTGTACAACAGAAACTAACATAGCATTGTGAAGCAATTATACTCAATAAACATGTATAAAAAAATTCTGAAAATGAAAAAAAACCCTTGAAGAATAGACTACATTTTGTAGGGCTACATTTTGTGAGATTATTTAATAACCTGTTTATTGTGAGCTTCCTCCTCAGTAGAAACCACAAAGTATTTCCACACTCTGTCCATTCTGAGAGGTCCATTCACGTGCCTCTTCTCCAATAGTCCTTGTCACCAATCCTCCAATCTAGTTATCTTCAAGTCTGATCAAACCCTTAGCCACTGCCTATGAAACCTAGAAGATCCACAACCCAGGGCATCTCTCTTTCCATATAAAGTGGAACATGAGATATACTCTTAAAAGTGTGCCCCCTGGGAGAGATTTGTTTTCCTTACTGTTCTTTAGGACTATCTCTATGTGGGCTTATAGTCCATTTTCGTCTAAAGCCTGCATATTGTGCAGAACTACCTGAAAATGGGGCTCTACTTTTTACTTTTTCAGTCAGCTGGTCATGTGGAACACCTCTTAAGGCTCTAGGCATAGGTTGAAGGAGGTATGGAAATGTGGAGGGAGTAGACATCTTGGGAATATGAGTCATGCAATTTTCTTGTATCTATTGGATCAGCTAAGTTTATACATTACGTACCACTTCCATCTGATCATGAAGTGTTTTTGGATACATCGTAATGCTGGCTAGCCACCCCTAGTTAGAGATGGGCAACTTAATTTCAAGGCTACCAGTTTTCCCATTGTTTGACATTTTTGTCTCCTCCAGGGCCAATAACAAGCTATGAACTGTTGAGGTGACATCACCAAGATGACAACATAGTAGTTCTTGATTTCATTCACGCTCACAAGAAAAACAACTAGCAGCTATTCATGGACAAGACACCAACGAGAGAATCTTAGAACCATATGGTGAGGTTTCCCCAGAGCCTATGGATCCTTCAGTGGGAAAAGAGAGCCCAAGGGGCACTTACAGCTCCCCCAACACTGTGGGTCACTTCTTGGGAGTCCCCATTCTGGTCTGGCCCCCTGGGGTTTGCAGGGGAATCTGTGGGGCTCCATCAGTGGGATTCTGGTTGTGATGGAGAATGGGGTATGGGCTTGTAACAACTAGCACTTGGATCGAGGCAGACCGAGTTCTTCCCTGCAGATCACAAACAGTAGCCCAACCAGCACTTTGCTCATCTGCAGAACCAAGTCGGTGGTGCAGTCCGGCCAGGGTAAAAGCAGCCTGGCCCTGCCTGACCAGAAGGGCTAGCAAGAACACCTGGAAGCTGTGTAGCCCATACCGCAAACAGTCAAGAGAACATCTGCCCACTCAAAGGGCAGGGCTTTGTTTCAAAGCCCCAGATGGCTCATCTGTGGTGCTCATATTGGGGCTGGCTGTAGGCTCTACAAGGCTCTCAATCAGCCACAAATCTACCACGTCATGAAGTCCAAGTGGCAGAGCTTTGCACAACATCCAGGGCGTGGCAGAGCCTTCTCTTGCTTGTATCCCCCACAAAACTGGCAGTCTTATGGGCTATACAACCATGAACTGATGAAATAACCATGGCGGGACTCATATCCAACTCCAATAACCTTTACTTCCACTGGCTTCTACCCTAGCAGTGGACCATGGTGATATTCTGTGTTACCAGTGATTAGTGTTAGCTCCGAGCCAGGGTCAAGTAGTCCCTCAGAGTTCTAGGAATTCCTTTCCCCCACCCTACTAGGGTACAGTGATCCTGAAACATAATTTGTGTCCTTTTGGTAACAGTCAGGTGAAAGTGTTATGGCACATGCTTATAATGTTACTACATAATTCTTTTTTAAGGGTACCCCATCTCCTTTCCAATCAGAAAGGTCTGGCTCTTTGAACTGATTTAGGGCTGGGAACTGGGTGAGAAGTAGTGAGTTTCTATAATAGTGGCTCAAATCAATCTTCTCTGCTTACTAAGTCTAGCTGGATTTTTGTTGTTGTTGTTGTTATGCACATTGAGTAAAACCTTAGGGGGTAACACATTTATTTAAGTCATAGAGGCCTAATTATCTCCAAAGATCCCTATAGGTAAAACCATTTTGTTTGTTACTCTGGCTCTGCTACCTATTATGGTAACTGCATCTCCCTTTTCTCTGGTATTTGAGTACATCTACTTGACCTTTGTCATCCTGTTTCCATCTTTGTCACTTAAATCAAGGAGCTCTTTATAATGGCAACATTTCCTACTTTTATACTCTACCCACAGTAGTTAGTGTGATTTTACCTAATATGATTTTTAAAGGGTATTGGTGCTCTTCATCGTCAATGTATTTCTCAATACTATGATGAAGAGATTATCTTCTGAACTGTCTTGTGGGTTATTTTTGGGGTGGGAGTTGTGAACACATGATAAATCTTATACTCTTATCTCCCCAGATTTTTGGATTCTTTCCTCTATATTATATCAAGTTCTTTCTGGCATCTCAAATTCATGTAGGTTCCTGTTGACTCTAGTTTTAGTCCATCAACCAAGAAAATAAATGGAATCCTTCCCAGTAGCTTGAGTCAATATTTTGCATCCAGAATCTCTTGTAGATGTTCACACATAGAAAATTTGACCTGATCTAAAATTATGTCCCTCTCTCCCTATTCTAGGTCCATGAGACCCCCTTCATTCCCACACATATTCCTCATAATTTTTTTAAAGTTTTATATTAACATACAGTAAAATCGACTCTTTTTTGGGCATATAATTCGATGAGCTCTAACACACATATAGATTCATGTGATTACCACCACAATCAAGTTACAGAATAATTCCCTCACCCCCAGAATATTCCTTGTGCTACCCCTTTGTCGTCCCCCACACGTAACTTCTGGAAACCATTAATCTGTTCTCCATCACTGTAGTTATGTCTTTTTGAGAATGTCATATGAGTGGAATCATGTAGTATGTAGCCTTTCAAGACTAGCTTCTTTCATTTATCATAATGCATTTGAGACTCACCCACATTGTTGTGTGTATCAACAGTCTGTTCCTTTTTACTGATGAATTTTCCATTGTATGGATATACCACAGTTTGTTCACTCTCTCACCTTTTGAAGGTTATACCTAGGTTTTGGCAATTATGATTAGAGCTCCTATAAACATTCATGTATAGGTTTTTGTGTGAATGTAAGTTTTCATTTCTTTAGGGTAAATACGTGAGGAGTAGGATTGCTGGGTCATATGGTAGGTATCGGTTTAACTTCATAAGAAAATGCCAGACTGTTTTCTAGAGTGAATATGTTATTTTGCATTTCTGCCAACAATGTATAAGAATTTCAGTTCCTCACCATTCTTGGTATTGTCAGTTTTCTATTTTATGTTAGCCATCCTAATAGGTATGTTTTAATTTGTGTTTCCTTAATGGCTAGTGATGTACATCTTTTCATGTGCGTATTTGTCATCCATCTATCCTCTTTGTCCAGGTGTTTGGCCCATTTTAAAATTGAGTTGTCTGGTTTCTTACTGTTGAGTTTTTAAAAAATACATTCTGGACAGAAGTCCTTTGTCAGATACGTGATTTCACATATCTCCCAGTCTGTAGCTTGCATTTTCACTGTCATAACAATGCCTTTCAAAGAGCAAAAGTTTGTAATTTAGATGAAGTCAGTTTTTCTTTACAGATCATGCTTTTGGTATAGATCTTTGAAACCTTTGTGTAACCCAGACCACAAAGATTTTTTTCCTATGTTTTCTCCTAAAAGTTTTATACTGTTAAGTTTTACATTTAGATCTCTGATCCATTAAAGAAAATAAGTTGTGAGGTTTAGAATGAGGTTAATATTTTTTTGAGCATGAATGTCCAGTTATTGTAGTAAATTTGTTAAATGAGATACTTTCTTCACTGAACTGGTTTTGCACCTTTGGTCAAAATCAGTTGTCCCTAAATATGTGTTGATTTCTACTCTCCCAGTTCTGTTCCATTGACCTATCTACCTATCCTTTTGCCAATACTATACTGTCTTCATTACCCTAGCTTTACAGTAGATCTTCCTATTGGGTAGTATGATTCCTACAACTTTTTTCTTGTTTTCCAAAATTGTTTTGGATATTCTAATTCCTTTGCCTTCCAGGTAAATGTTAGAATTAACTTGTCTATATCTATAAAAATTCCTGCTAGGATTTTGAATGGAATTGTATTAAACTATAGATCAATTTGGTGAGAATTGATATCTTTATCTGGTGAGTCTTCCAATTCTGCTATTGGACCATCCAGTGAGTTTTTAATTTGTGGAATTGTGCTTTTCAGTTCTAAAATTTTTATCTTGTTCTCTTTTTTAAAGAAATCTGATTCTTCTTTATAGGTTCTATTTGGCAGAGACTTTCTATCTTTATTTTCCTTTTAATTGATCCTTACTTCTTAAGCATTTTTGAAATAACTGCTTTAAAGTCTTTGTCTGATATTTCCCACATTAGTGACATTTCAACATTGACATCTGTTGGTTGTCTTTTCCCATGTGAGTTGAAATTTTGGGGGTTCTTCTAATACTGAGTAATTTTAAAAATTATATCCTGAACATTTAAAATATTACTTTAGGAGACTCTAGGTCTTATTTAAATCGTAGGGAGAATGCTGATATTTTGTTATGGCAAGCAATCGACTCAGTTAGGTTCAGACTGCACATTCCAACTAGCCTTTTGTGGGTTGTTGTTTTCAGTGCCAGGTGGGTCTTCATAGTCTGTTGTGCTAATTGAATGTGTCTCAACCTGGTCTGCCACCTGGTGACCAGTCTGGGGCCTGAATGGTGGTCTATGTTGTAGTCCAATTCTCAGTCTTTGGTATACTGGTTAGGGCCAGATCCATACATGTGCAGCTCAGGGGTGAGTTCAGAGTTTATAAACTACTTTATGGGATCGCTTTCCTAGATTTTCCCTCTCTGTAATCTTTCTGGGATTTTCCAGGTGCTTCTCTTTTTTGTTCTCTAGCCAGAACACTGAGGCCATAGATACTGCCACTCTGTCTTAAATTTCACAGAGCTATGCCTGCATCTGGTACCAAGTGACAGGAAGAATAAGAGAGACAAAAAAGCTGTGGGGTTTGCCTCCACCTCTTGGGACCACGGGCCCTCCAGTTGAAGATGAAGTTTTCCCTTCCTCAGAATTTAAGGATCTGTAGGCTCCCCACTGTTACTTCCTGTTCTATCCCCATGAGATTGCCTGGGGGTTGGAGCATAAGAGAATGGAGAGGAGGAAATAAAAGAAAGAAAGAAAAATGGAGGACATTCTCACTTTCCCTGAGCGTTAGGAGTTCCCTTTCTTGCTCCTGGAGCCAGAACTAGAGGGTTCCTCCTGAGCATTCTCTGTCATGTTTGGTGCCCACTTTCAGATTTCTGACTTTCTTGAGTCCAGGCTGGGAGATATCATAGAAAAAAAAAAGAACACTCACCACCAGTTCATTGATACTTTAAGTTTTCCCCACCTTCTACTATTTATCTTTCAGAAACCTCAAATAGCTCCATGAATTCTGTCCAGGTTTTATAGCGTTATTAACTTGGAGGTACATAGTAAAGTGTGCTCACTCCATCTTACCCAGAACCAGAAGTCTCTTCCCATACTTTGGACAATATAAATGGCAAACTCCTACATTTCTTTTGGTATGTTGGCCATCTTCTGCCAGGTACAACTTTGTAATTGGCCTCTTGGAGATTACTGTCATTTGACCCTCACTATAGGTCTGGAGGCAATGAGAGGATAGATTTAGGTGACAGGGGGAATTCTTACAATGTAACTATGCCAGGTGAGGTCATTACAGGGTCTTTATATGAGGTAGAGCCAGCCTGGTGACACAGGGAAGGAAGCTCAGTGGGCTTTGGGCTTGGAGTACTCAGAGTCATATGGGTCCTCCAGAATATAACTTTTCCAGTTCTTGAGATCTTACTCTATTCTAACAACTGCCCTTTCAAA